TTGCAGCAAAATGGGGTATCAGTTGCTAGGGTGGCTGAGATACAGGGGCGCCTGAGAAATGGTCCTGAGAGGAGGTGATGAGTTTTAAGCAGAGGCACGTGAAAGGTGATGGTGGGTTTTCCTCCAAAGCAGATGGCAGTGCTTTGCAGAGCCCTAGTTAGCTGGAGCTATCTCGTCTGCCTCAGTTGGAGTTGGGGTATGGGGTAGGGTCGAGCCATTCTATTAGCACAGGGACTCACCTCCCTCCCCATCAATCTGCAGTAGATTGCCGCAGCCAAACGTGAGATGGGCCATTTCAAGACCTGGAAAGCCAGATGTTCTTTGCTGATGCTGCCATGCCCCTGCCTCAGGCGCCCTGGGCAGTCTCCCCAGCTCCGAAGTGGGAGTGGCCTGGCCTTGGCATCTAGGCCTGGACTTGCCTGCTTTGAGCAGGCTACTGTTTTCTTCTGGAGTCAGCCAGTCCAGGGTTTGTTAGAGTCATTAGCATTACCTTACAGTGATGTAGTTTCTGAACCCAGAATAGGTGTGATATCTATGAGGACGAGGACAACAGGATGGAATATGTGAAATTAGGCCATCTTGGAAAATCCAGGACATCTCCCATTTTGTAAGTGGTGAGTTAGGCCCCACAGGGACTTGAGGCTGGCTGGGCTCCAGTGAAACTCCCAGGAGTCACACTGTGGCTTCTCCGGAAGGTCCTGACTTTCTGTCACCTTATTTTGGGCAGAATGTGGACCCTGGCCAGTGTTTGGCTGCTCAGTATGGCATTTTGGAAATGTCGCCCAGTAACCTGGCTTCGTGGGAATCTGCATGGCTGGTTTTTCTGGATTCTCTCACTGTGCCCTGTACTGGGGTATAATGTCAGGTAGTCTCCGGATTCCCGGACCCCAGCCGAAACTAGCCTGCTGAAGTCTTAACCTGAGCCCCTGTCTTCTAAGCCCCCGGAGGATGACACATTTCTTCCTGCCCCTCTGATGTGTTCTGCTCTTAAAAAACCCCCTACCCCCATCCTTAAAAAATCAGACCATACAAAGCTAGAGAAACTTTTTTCCTGATTATTTTTCCTTTTTTTAGACAAGGACATTGATATATTTGAATCATGGGCCGACAGTAATTAAAAAGCACATAACTAGTCATTTTAAAATGCAGTTGTTTTACTTAATTGATTTTGCCGCCAGACCCAGAGGGGGGGAAGAAAAAAGGAACAGGGGTGTGGGGGGAGAAAGCCTTAGAAGGGGAGACAGGTTTCTGTAAGTGACTGGAGGCAACCCAGTGCCTGCTTGAATGTAATTGCTGCCCATGCCGCAGTTTGTTTCTGCTAATGGTTTTCCACGGAAAGGGCTGGGGGATCAGGCCTGACTGGAGGGGGGTTGTGTTTATTTCAGCTGCGTGAGGGGTGGAATTCTGCTTTCAGGACAGGGTCTGCTTTTCCTTACTATCTATCAGCTTAAAGTACTTCCATTGAACACTCTGAATCAAGGTTCCATTTAGAGATACTTTATTCATATTTAATTACAGGCTGTAGCACCAATCTTTAATTACCTTTTTTATAAGCCATCTCGGAACATCCACTAGCAATCATTTATTGTGTGTGTGTGTGTGTGTGTGTGTGTAAGCACAGGAGCATATGGGCATGTGACTTGCTCTCTGAGGGGGAAGGGATGGCTGCTGGGGCACTGGGAGGTGGTGGGCGGGCCCAGTGGGGTGGGATATCTGCCTGACAGGCATCCTCACTTCCCTTGCCTCTCTTCTGCTTCTATTGGTCAGACTGGGAATTTGGACAAGTCCTCAGAGCTGGGCCTTGTTCAGGGTGCTGAGTTGGCAGCTGGACCCCCTCCATCCCCTGGTGGGAGCAGGGAATTATGGGAGGCCCCTCTCATCCCCTGGGGATATGGCAGACCAGGCTTCCTCTTACCCTGGAGATTGGGATGCTTGCCTCGGCCCTTTTCTTTCTTCACCTCCCCTTGGAGTGCTCTTGGCAGCCGTTTTTGCCACATAGCCTTAGCAATGCCATGTCACTCTTTGGTTGCAATGACTCTGCAGTGTTCCTTCAATGACACTGATTTGAAGACTGGTTGTCCTTTTCAGAGAATGAGCCAGTGTTCCCAGGGAGTGAGGTCAGATCACTCCCAAGTCCCTTTGCAGTGGGGAGTTTGGGCCATTCTAACTGTCTGGGAGGTGAGGGTCCTAGTTCGCAGCTCTGCTCCAGAAAGTGTTCTTGGTGCTCCTTCAGGCACTACAGAGGATTTCCAAAGGAACTAATGTTTTTAAAAAAAATATATCTTTATTGATTTCAGAGAGAGGAAAGGAGAGGGAGAGAGAGAGACAGAACGTCAATGATGAGAGAGTCATCGATCAGCTGTCTCCTGAACGCCCCAGACTGGGGATCGAGGCCGCAACCTGGGCATGTGCCCTGGCCGGGAATTGAACCCTGATCGCCTGGATTTTAGGTCGACGCTCAACCACTGAGCCATGCCCGGCTGGGCAAAGGAACTAATGTTGATCTCATTATGTAACGACTGGGAATGTTGCTGAAGTTCTACCTCTTCTATTCCTGGATCCCTGTCCAGAACTCATACTTACTGAGCTCCTTGGGGATGCCGGGCACCATGCCTGTGTTTCTTTAATTTATACCAGCTGGGGCTGAGAACACACCGTATCAATTAGAGCCCCTTCAGTTGTTTGTGACAGAAAAACCCCTCAAACTGACTTAAGCAATTAAAGAAATTATAGGGTGGGCATTCAGGCATGGCCAGATCAAGGGGCTCAACCATTGTGATTAGGATTCACTCTCCCTGCCTCTTGGCTTTGCTTTTCTCTCTGTTGCTACTGTGTGACCCCTGGCATCTCTAGGCTTCAAGTTCAGTTTTAGCAGAAAGAAAGAATCCCTTCTCCTACAATTCAAGCAAAAGTAAAATAATTGAATCTGATTAGACCAGTTGGGTCATGTGTCTATCTCAGAACCAATCAGTGTGGCCCAAGGTATTAAAGGAGTCTGGCCAGGTCTGGGTCTTACACCCACCCTGGACTAACAGACGGAGTTCATCTAGGTAAACCCCACACATGATATGTGCTTTTATTTAAATTAAAAAAAAAATTGATTGGGGGGGAGAGAAAGCGATTTGTTGTTCCACTTATTTATGCATTCATTGGTTGATTCTTACATGTGCTCTGACTGGGGCTCAAACCCATAACCTCGGTGTAACAGGACAACGCTCTAACCAACTGAGCTGCCCGGCCAGGGCTGATATGTACTTTTACATTTGATGCTTTTGGATTAGTAGGAGTGTGGGAGCAGGAAGCCCCAGCCATTTGAAAGGAAAGAAAGAGTTCATCCAATTCTTCTCCAAATCTTTGTTTGTCACCAACTAGTTGCAGCCCTGTTCTTGGTGCAAGGAATTCAGAAGCGAACAAGATGGACACAAGTTCCTGCCCACTGGGAGCTGATATTCTAATGAGGCGATATGGGTGGTGGTCCTTGCATTCTCTTACTCCAAGGTCCGGGATAGAGTCTCTTGCAGGGAAATGCTGGGTGATTCGGGGTGGGTGATGTGGGATATGGCCCTCAGGGAGCCTAGGACTCGCACAGGACGGAGAAAGATGGGTTCATGGTTGGGAAGAAGGGGGAGGGGGGGCACTGGGAGGGGTACAGATAAGGACCCAATGAGGAAGAGGGGGGCAGGGAAGCCAGTCTGTACCCATCTCTCATGACAGTGAGCATAGGCCCCTCCCATGTTGCCTGGACCTTTGGCCTCCGAAGGATGTTGATAAATGGGATGGAGTTTAGTGAAAGCTAAAGGAATGGTGACAGGGCTGGAGGGAGTGATTTATGAGACAAGATTAGCAAAGTGATGGTGCAGCCTAGCAAGTGGGGATGGGATGGTGGCTGTGGGTCATGCAACTGCTGAAGTCCAGGGAGAGGAGAGGGGCTGAGGGCCTGGGTGTTTGTTGCAGAAGGGGGAAAAGGGAGGTAGGGGCACGGACTGAATAGGCCTTGGCCTGCAATGTGTGAAAAGGAGGGGAGGCGTGTGGTGATCCACATACACATTTGTGAGGTGTGTGTGTGTGTGTGTGTGTGTGTGTGTGAATGTGATGTCTGGACTTTCCAGAATTGTGAGGCTATCCAGGGACTTCAAGAAACAGAGGGGATGAGAATTTTAGCCTTGGCCGATCTTGCAAAAGGCTTTTGGGGGCCTCCTTCCCATCTGGTAGGATATTTATATCTGGACCATGTAGGTGTGACCACTCAAGCCAGAAAGACTTTTTCCCAGGAAAATCGTTATGGCATTTCTAAGCGGGAAGGAGGGAAGGCGAGAGGGAAGAGATGGAAGAATAAGGGTATACATTCCATTTCATAGAGAAAGCGAGGCACAGGAAGGGCAAGAGCCTTTGGTGGCATTGCAGGTGAGGACCAAGTGCAAGGCTTGGGCCTGCAGCCTGGGATCTCTGCCAGGAGGCTGGGCTGAGAGTGAGCTCAGGAATCATGTTGAGGTTGCTGCTCAGGCAGGAACAGGAGGTGGTGGTTGGGTTGGCAGCCTTCAGCCAGGGCTCCTTGAGCTCTCCAGGTTGGTGGGGTTGGAGATCTTCCATCTGACCCGTCTTGGGCTGCCCTGGTCCCAGGTTCTGTTAACTTGTGATTATATCCATATGTGAGAGCCTTGGAGGCACAACGGTGGATAATTTAATGGGTGGATTATGCATAGTTCTGAACATTCTAGGTAGCACTTCTTTGGCCTTAAATGGAGGTGCTCAGGGCACCTTTGCACACCTATGAGAACACACCCTCCACATGTGTTTTCTGTCTCCCTCCTTCCATATGCCTGGTGTTAATCTCTGTGGCAGCAAAGGGCCCAGGCCAGGAGCTGGGCTGGTGTACAACTGATAGAGCAGAAAATCTGTCGTGGGGGCATCGATGGCACGGGCTCTGGCCCATCCTCCTGGCCCCTCTCACTGAATTGAGTCATCTTCATTGCTCTGTCCTCTCTCTCTACTCTTGACAGATCCATGAGTTGTTTGTGAGCTTTGATGACACCCCTATGGGAGCTGCTTCCCTGGCCCAGGTCCATAAGGCTGTGCTGCGTGATGGGCGGACGGTGGCTGTGAAGGTCCAGCACCCAAAGGTGCAGACACAGAGCTCGAAGGACATTCTCCTGATGGAGGTGAGAACCTTCCCCTTTCACCCACCTTCCTCCTAAGTCTGTGTTTCCCCACGATCCAGGCAGTACCAGGGAAACTGGTTCAAAGCTGGTGGGTAGATGTGTCCCTTTGAGCAGCAGGATGGCAGAGAGGAGCTTGAGACCACAACAAAGAAGGTGTCATGACAGTGCTGTGACCATAGGACCCCATGGCTGGGGTGGTCAGTTCTTCTTGATAGGTTCCTGGGAACTGCATGTGGAGGTCTCAGAACACACTAGACAGCTACGGGGGCCAAGGGGACCTCTGGAGGATGCTGTAGAAATGAGAACAACCAAAGGTGATTTCCTTGGGGGTACAAAAGTTACATCTTAAGTTGTTAAATTATAACAAAAGAGAGCATGTGGTCAACCAAGGGATATAAAAATGACAGGCAGGTCACAAAGAAACACTGATGCAGATTGCATATGTGCTTGTCTGATGTGCTTTGAATGAACTGACTTGCATGCCTCAAAATGGCCCTGGGAAAAAGCTCTAGTGGAGACTGTGTCTCTGAACTTTTCTAGCTCCGTGCCTGGAGCAAGGGAGGGAGGGTGAGCCAGCCACTGCTTGGGCAGTAGCCAGCACCCTCCACGAAAGGTCAGCAGTTCGTTTAACCTGCCAGCGTGCCCCCCTCCTTCCTTTTCTCTTTCCCTTTCCTTTGCTCCCTTTCCCCATTTTGGACTCTTAGTTTATTCTTTCAACTCACTCTGACTAAGTTTAACACACTCATTGAGGGTCTCTTCTGCATCAGGTGAATGAGCAGCATCTTCATCCCCGGGGAGCTTCTTGTGTAGTGGAGGAACAGGTCTCTACATAGACAGTCACATGTGGAGACATGAGTTCTGTCCGAGGGGTGCTTGTGAGGCACCGGGGGCACTGTGCCTGGACTGATGAGGGTGTCGAGGGGGCTTCACGGAGGAGTCCATGAGGTGGCCAGACAGGGGAAGGACAGCCCTGCTTGTGGGAAGGCCCCAGGTCTTAGAGGAACAGGTTGGAGAACTTTGCTGAGTCTGATGGTGTGAGTTGGGAGTGGTAGCAGGTGAGGTGCTGGGAAGGTAGGCCTTGTGGCAGGCCTTGTATTCCAGGCTTAGGCATCAAGTGGTATATGTAATATATATGTGTTCACTGTGGAACTGATCTGATCTGATTGCATTAGAATAAAAATCTGTTGGCAGTCCAGAGGATGTATCTGAAAGAAGAAAGACTAGCTAGGGAGACTAATTGAGGGGCTGCTATAAACAGTCAGAGAGATAATGACGTGAACCAAATCAGTGTAGGGGGGTGGAGAAGAGGGGTGGGTTCAAGGGGTGGAATCACTGGACTCTGAGACCAGCTTTACAGGGAGTATGAATGAGAAGGAGGAGACTAAAGTAAATCATGGGTTTCTGGCTTAAATGATTAAGTTTGGATGTCTAACCATGTGTGTCAGTCTGAGTCTAGCTGGGGAAAAAAGAAATTGCTCTAGGTATTTCAGAGGGAATTTGAAACAGAAAATGGGGCTCACAGGAGATGGAATTGCCGAGAAACCAAATGGGTTGGTGAGACAATTGCCAACAATAGGAAGCTACTCTCAAGATGGAGAGGCAAAGAGAACAGGTGGTTCTCTGGAGCCCAGGAGCTGGGGCTCCCTGGTGGAAGCTGGGACCATGGAGAGCTGGCCTGATGGGAGGTGGATCTCAGGTAGGGCCTGTCACCTGGAAGCTGGGGCCACAGATGCTGTTTGAGGTAACAGGTTCTTACCTCCTCCTATCCCCCAGTGTAACACCTATGTGGCCCATTGGCCAAATTTAGCTGGAAGCCAGTTGGCAAGGGAGCCAGGGAAATGTAGTTTTTTATGAGAGTAAGAGGGTTGGATTGGATTTCACTTTCAGAGCAAAGTGAAATGGTGATGGAGCAACCATGTTGGGTAAGAGACTGCTGTCAGGAGTTCTGGATTGGGAAAGTTCTGTCCATCTGCAGTTCAGGCTGCAAATACAGATTCAGGATTTATCAGCAAGGTGACTTGCGGGAGCTGAATCCGGGGGAGTAGTTGAGATCACTTAGGAAAGTTATGTAGCATGAAAAAAAGGCAGGGAAACTCTGAGGAGCATCATCATTCAGGGAGAATGCCGAGGACAAGTTTCCAAGGGAACTAAGAAGATGTGTTCCAAGTTGGCTGGCAAGTGGGTGCTGGCTGTTGGCGGGGAGCTCAGCCAGGGCTGTGGGCCACAGTCTCAGGTCCCCTCCATGTCAGCTGCTCCATGGCTGTATGGGCTTCCTCACAGCATGGCTGCCGAGTTCTTGGAGCGAGTGTCCTGAGAGAATAAGGCTGAAAGTATGTCACAATTTCATGACCTTGCCTTGGCCATCATGAAGGTTACTCCCTCCTCACTCTGTTAAGAGCAGGAGCCATGAAGGCCCCCTTCGGTAAAGGGGTGGGGAAATGGACTCTGCTTCTGGATGGGGGCGTGGCGAGGCTCTAGAAGAGCAATAGAATGGGAGGTATCGTTGCAGCCGTTTTGGAAAATACAGTCTGCCGGAAGTATTCAGTGTCGTCAGAGGGGGTATAAAGTGAGTAAAGCTCTAAGAAGGGTGTTTTGGATTTGGTAATTTAGAGCTCTTGGGTGGAGCAAGGAGAGCGGGTGAAGAAGCATTGCGGCCGCAGGGAACAGAGACAGCTAATGCAGAACACTCCTCTCACGTTTAGCCATCCATGTTGGGGGGCGTGAGGGTAGAGGTTAGTGCAGAGCGCAGGATTAGAGGTTGGTCAGGAAGACATGGGGATGGCAGCAGCAGAGCAGGGGAATTGGAGGTTCAGGAGAGGAAGTAACTGATAGATCTGGTCCAGGAGGAGACTCAAGGCATTGGCTGCAGGGAATCAGGTGGAAACACTAGCCTTTGTTTTGAGCCTGGCGGAAAGTGGTCAGGCTGGGTCAAGATGAATGTGTGGGGCAGACGGGGAAGGTGGGCAGCTGGGCTGTACCAGCCTGATAGCCTCTATTTTTTCTCTGGAGTAGGAGGCAAGACCATCTGCTGAGAAAGAGGGGGTAGGAGGTGGCTTTGGAGGCTCGAGTGGGGGCGAAGGTTTGGAATAGCTGCTATGTGCGTTGGAAAAGAGCAGTGTTGCTGAGTGGCCCTGGAAATCCACCTGGAAACCTGAGTTTTCTGGAGCACCTGTAAGTGGCTAGGGAATGGCCATTGCTGGGAGGGAACCGGGAGTCTTCGAGGATCCCTCAGTGTCCTGAGACCCAGCAGCCACTCCTGCATCAGGTGGGAACTGCCTCTGGCCAGCAGTGTTGTCAGGACCCACTTGGGCTGGAGGGCAGCTGACACTGTTTTCTCTTCTCAGAGCCTTGCTGGCTCCCTAAATAATGGTGGCTGTAGGGTCAATAGCAATAATAGCAGTAATAAAGACTTGGCACCTTCTGGAGATGAGCATCAGATGCTTTTCTTGGGAAGTGCAGCCTAGTGGCCATGTACAGAATACAAAGTGGCTCCTTCACAGTCACTGAGGCAGTGCTGGGACTGGGATCACAAGGCAGATCAGAGACCTGTACGCAGAGCCTTCACTAGAGATCTAAGCTGCAAACGAGGCCCGAGGTCATCACCTCCATGGACCTTCAGTATTAACAACAGCACCAGATGGCACTGCCTTCTCACTGGGCTCGTCTCTGGTGGAAAATATTCTACCTGGGTCATCCTTCTCTGCTCTGAAGCTAAGAAGAGCCTGACTGGGAAGCTCATTTTATTTTCTATTTGAAATTAGTGTGTGTTTTTCTTCCTGAGTCCAGACCTAAAATGGCACCTTGGTTTTAGGGATGACAACCCCAGAATGGTGCTCAGGGATGCTTGGCAGGAGAAGAACCATTTCTAGAGGGTATTAATGGCCTCCCTTAGCCACCAGAAACTTGGAGACCAAGGGAGGCCGACCACTGTTCTGCAGAGCAGGCATCGTGCACGCTCATCCTTTCCCACTGCCCACTGTTGTTCATCTCTCCAACCCTGGGGTTGATCACAGCATGATCTTGAGAGGAGGACTATCTGATCGAAGTAATTCATTCTAAGGAGAGAGTGACTAATAGGCTTAACCTCTGGATATTTGCAGTTTAAGAAGTGAGCTTATAAATCCAAATACATATCTGCCAGAGAGTCTGTAGGAGCAAGACTTTTGAGAGTGAGGAGGTAGGGACTACTGCTGGTGTCAGGATGTCGTTGGCTGCAGGTATCAGGAAATCCAACTGAAAGTGGGGTAAATAATAGTAACCTATATTATCTCACATTTCAAGACTTCTGGTGGTAGTGTCAACTTTTCCAGCGTTGACGAATCCAGCACTTTTTGTGATTTTTAAGGACCTAGGTTCCTTTTGTCATCCACTCTGCCATCCCGGATTGTCCTTCCAAGGTAATGCTCTTCATGGTCCCAAAACAGCTGCAGCAGTCCTGCTATTACAAGTAGGTGACATCTAGATTCCAAAGAGGTCCTATGTCTTTTCTCATACTTCTTATCAAAAAGGAGCCCTTCAGTAGAATCCCCTTCATTTCTCACGGACCAGAAGTAGGCACATGCCCCGGCCTAAATCAGTCCTGGCGAGAGAAATGAGACCACTCTGACTGGCTCACTGACCAGTCATGACTCACCCTCTCAGGCTGAGGCCTACCTTCCTTGAAGGACACGAAAGATGCACATATATATTTTTTCTTTATTGTCGAAAGTATTACTGATGTCCCCTTCCCCCCCATTGATCCACCTCCACCCAGCATCCACCCCTGTCCCCCCATGGTCTTCGCCACACTATTGTCTGTCTCCATATGTCATGTATATGCACATATTTGAGGCTCTGTTAGCCAGGATAGTGGGGGAATGGCTTTTGTGTTGGCATTCAATAGCATGTGCCACTCTCGTGTTTTGTGTCTCTTGTGAACCTGGCAAGGGGAAGGGGGACAGACTCTGGGATAGACCGTTGAATGGTGGCAGAGAAATGAAGGCAGACTCTCAGTAAATGGT